CTAGAAAGTCAATTTAGTAGGACACTTTGCAGGACCATGATAAATGAGGTATTACCGAAGTATTAATAGGATCAGATTGGAAATACAGATCTCTTGGGTAAAACTAAAGGCTATACTAAGTGTAACATACATGCAATGATAAATCGAGTTTTCTCAGTGTATAAAATTATGACATTCTTCTAAAATAATTATTTTTTTTCTTTCTTTTCCTAAGCACGATTTGCTCCCTACAAGCCTCAAGACATTTTGTTGAAGCCCCTGTTGTTCGAAGTACCGAGCATAACAACAGACTCTGTATTTGTGGGAAGGGATTGGCTCTTTCACCAGATAGAAGAAAACCTGAGGAACACAGAGCTGACAGAAAACAGAGGAGCGGTGGTTGTTGGAAACGTGGGCTTTGGGAAGACGGCCATCATTTCCAAGTTGGTGGCACTTAGCTGCCACGGGAGCCGCATGAGGCAGATTGCTTCCAACAGCCCCAGTTCATCACCTAAAAGTATGTCCATGTTTAACTACTTGTCTGGTTTATTATATTAATATAAGATAGATGGAGGAAATTGCTGTTTGGATAGACATAAATTCCCAGTTTTTCTCAAGTTGTTCCAGCTGCTTATCAGGTTTGCAGTCACATGCTAGAGAACTATTTGGATGCCTCCATCTGTCATTGAGCCCCTGTAGCTGTAACCTGGGGTGAAGCCAGCCTTCTCTGTGCCCTCCCAACTGGAAGGCTTGCGTCCCTCCTTACGTGGGACAGAGATGGGGCAGTGATGCCTGATCAGGTGCCCTGGGGAATCTTGGGTCCTAAAACCAAGGGGAGTAGGCTCCTGGCAGAACAAGCCAGAAAGAAGCTGTATAGAATTCTTTTTTTTTTTTTTTTTAAGAATTTTCATTGGGGAGCAGTGTATTTCTCTAGGACCCATCAGCTCCAAGTCAAGTAGTTGTGGAGGGTGCAACTCCAAGGCCCATGTGGGAATTGAACCGGCATCCTCGGTGTTATGAGCCTGTGCTCTAACCATCTGAGCTAACCGGCTGCCCGCTGTGTAGAAGTCTTTTGTGCCCTGTTTTCCACAGCCTTTATCTTCTATACTGGTTTTACCAAAAGTATAAAAAAATAACTTAGAAATGGGATGGAGTAAGCATAAGATTTTACTGTCATGGCTTATTTTATGTGCAATAAATACATTAAAAGAAGTGTCTCTAACATAGTTAACCAGGAACAAGTGAGCCATGCAAGATTTGTTTTCAACCAAAAATAATTTAATAAAGGAAACGAGAAACAGCAGTTCTCCAGGGAGGGCAACTGGGTGGATGGGAGACAGGGCTGACAGGGCATTGGTGTTCTCGTTTGGGCATTTGCAGTTGGTGCCATGTTCACTCGTTACCTATTAAAGTGCTCTCCAGGTCTAATAAAAAATATATTCAGTATCCCACCATACCCCTATTCTGACATTGGAAATAATGGAATTGGTCTCTTTTCTCTGCAGCTTCAGATTCCTCCTCGGACCTTCCTTTCACTGCACTGCTTTCACCAAGTTCTTCTACAAGTGGTATCAATGTGGCTAAAATGCCTACTGGGTCTGGGTCTGATACTCCTGAGAACCAGAGACCAAAAGAGGATGCAGTGAAATACCTCGCTTCTAAGGTAATCTGCTCCTGGTTGTATGAGAGACTGAAAGTCAGAGAGTGATTGGTTTGCTAGTTTGGCTTCTGAAAAATGAATTATAAAAAGGAATTTATAACAGAGACAACTATTGCTTCATTCAAAAGTATAGCTTTGGATAAAATTGTGATAGAGTACTGCAAAGGAAAGGTATTAATGAAAATGTCTTAAGACACCGGCCGTGGACTTTTATTCGTCTTAAACAGTGGAGTGACAGAATCCCTCAAGCAACGCAGGCATTACTGTGCTCCCCACAAATCCGTGCTTACATTTGGTATGAGAGCAGGCGATTGGAAGCCTGTACCCTGACCTGGGCCGCCTCCATCTGCCCTCCGTTGCCTGGGGCCCTGGGCTCCCAGCGTCTTTCTGTCTGAGGTTTCTTGTGATGTTGTAAAGGAGACTTGGCTGACTTTCCCTCCTAAATTCATGGTCATCAAGGTCTTTCTGAAATTTTCCATCTGCTCAACATCCATCACAGGTTCGTAAGCCACCCTCCTGCATTACATCGGTGGCGTCTCACTCCTGGTGAATCACTTGGTTCTCCCCAGCAGCAGTGGTGTGAATAGGTAGAGCTGGAGAAACACCAGAGGGAGGCAGGGATGAGGGGAGGGGCGTGTAGTGAGGAAACCCCCCGGAGGTCAGGTGGGTGCAGGGCGACGGAATGAATGCTTCTCTGCCGCAAGTGCCCACTCAGCACTTCCGCTTCCGTGGCATGGGCAGCCCTGATCTGCCCTCTCTTCATGAACGAGTGATCTGGGGTGAGGGAGGCAGTGCAGACTTCAAAGCCACCCCACTACCGTGATTTTTCACACCACTTTGTGACCTACAATAAGAAACGTGTCTTACGCTAGAGATCTGGTGTTCACACCCACGTGTTCACACACACAACTGAAGAAAAAGTAAAAAGTATTATAAGACTATACTTATAGCCTATAAAATTCACTTTATTTAAAAACAAAACAAAACAAAACAAAAAACCAGCTGTTTGGCTCTGAGTTGATGTCATGATGAGCCGTTGGGTTGCCGGATTTTCGTGCTAGATGGACTGTGGTACAGGCCGTCTCGTTGGTGGTTCGTGCAGACTCACGGGTTCTCATGTGTTCCTGCTTGTCTCTGTCCAGCTGAGAGTGGAGCAGTCAGCTTTCCTCTGAGTGCTGATAAATTTGATCCAAAATGGAAGGCAGTTGGAGGTTCCAAATTGGCCACCTCTACTCTTGCCGCTTGCTTCGCAGATCTTCCATTGATTACCTGTGTCACCCCGGCAAGGCATTTACCCTGTGTGCCGGCTGCCCTCCGCTGTGAACAGTAGCTCGTGGTTCTTGTCCTGCTTACATGGGGGTTGTAGAGCTGAGTGGGACGGCGAGGACTCAGACCTTTGTGAAAAACAAAGCAATTGACACAAGCGGTTTTGACCTTTTTTTCACCTTCCATACCTCAGTCTTATATTCCTCAGTTCATCCTCATTTGGGAAAGTATCAGGTTTTTTGTTTATTTGCAGTGCACCTCTCACTCCCAAGACAGTTCTGCATCTCGCAGTTCTCTGGGGGTCTCTAAGGCATCACCTGGTGCCACTTCACATCTGTGCCAACAAAGGGGACACTCGTTATCCTCTCAGGGCTTAGGCATGAACTTCTATGTCTTTCACATGATTGGCAGAAATCTGGTAATTTCTGATTTTGATCCTTCAAATGATGTCACTGTTGAACTTCTCCATGGTGCCACTTGGGGACTGAGGGCTTGAGCCAGGCAGCTCTGCCCAGCCCTCCTGCCAGGGGCAAGAGCAGCTGTGACTTTAAAGCCTGGACTTCATAGCCACTGACTTCAGTATCTGCCTTTTGGGAGCAGCAGATGTTTCCCAAGGAGATGCTGCTGTTTTCAAAAACAGTAACACAGTGAATATGGCACTTTTGGATGTTGGGAACAGTAGGATTGCTTGGAATTGCTTCAAGCCAGCATAGGCTTTGGGTCTTATGGATGACTTTTGTTCATCTATATTCAGTACAGAGTTACTTGTGCTCATCTCAGTGCTAATCAAGACCGATTTGTGGCTGCTTGAAAAGTCTGCTTAGAACTTGGCAAACCATGTGACTGAATGAAGGAATAACTGTACCAGTTAAGCTAAATAATGTCCCAGTCTTGGGCAATAGAAGCAACATACTTTGTGAGCTCAGCGAACGGGGGAGTTGCATCCCTGTTTGAGACCACGGAAGGAGCCGTGGGAAAGAGGCAAGGTGACGCTAATGGTCTGCTTCCCCCATAGGTCGTGGCCTACCACTACTGCCAGGCCGATAACACGTACACGTGCCTGGTGCCTGAGTTCGTGCACAGCATCGCGGCTCTTCTCTGCCGGTCCCACCAGCTGGCCGCCTACAGAGATCTGCTGATAAAGGAGCCCCAGCTACAGAGCATGCTGAGCCTCAGGTCCTGTGTGCAGGACCCAGTGGCTGCCTTCAAGAGGGGCGTGCTGGAACCACTCACAAACCTGAGAAACGGTACCTCCCTGCAGCCACCGAGAGCCCTTTCTCTCATTAGTAACTCAGAGTCCCCAGGCGGTCCTCAGAAGTGGGTCAGCGTGGCCCTGGAGTGGGAGCGAGGTGGGCGCAGGGAGAGGATGTGGGTGAAACAGTGTACCGCTCGCCTCCCTTCCTCAGAACCATCTCCCCGAGGGCGCCCCCCTGCCCAAGTGGCGTAATTTTAAATGAAACATCTCTAATAAGAATTAGCTCCACAGTTGAACATTTCCAAAGTAGCTAATTTGTAACTGTAGGATATTTAGATGACTTATTCCCTAGAAACTGTTGCCTGCATATTTTGTCCTCCTGCATAGTCAGGGACTAAGTTGATTGTTTAGGGAACTTGCCAGCATGTTTTTTCAGGGCCTCTGCTCAGTTGAGTTCAACCTAAAGCCATTTCTGGAAGTGTCCGTTTGATTTTGTTGCCCTTGAATACTCTTCAGGGGGGGGCGAGAGGAGGGTATTAGGGCTATTATGGGCCCTTTGGTTGTTCATCATTCCTCCTCCTCGCTCCTCACCTTTTGAGCTAGTTTACCCGCCTTCGTGGCACTTCTGCCACAAGGTGCTAGAGAGAGGGAATAGAAACAAATGCCATCATTTCTCCTCAGTTCCCTGGGCAGAACGTTGGTGCTAAGAGGAAAGGCAATTCAGCCTTGTGGGATTGAGCTGTGTTCTAGCGGGTCTGTAAAGCAGAGCGGTCACCCCCAGCTGGCTCTATTCTCTGGGCTGGGTGCGTCACCTTTTGGGGGTCAGTTTTCCTTCCCAGAAATCCATTTAGGGTGTTCTGTTGCGGGGGGAGGTGGCCTAGAGTTTTTTCCAGATTTCCTCTGTATGTTCTGTTTGCTGTACTTACCCCAGTGACAGGAGTTTATGAAGAGCTAAATAGTAGCCTATACATGGGTGAGATCCTGCTAAGTGTATGTGATGCGATCTGTTTCTGAAAACTGTTTCGTGAGAATTGGTTTCCTTTTGGCTCTTTGCTCCAGTTTTTATGATACATTTAATAGAAAATATGCTTCTGTGTAAGCCGTTTCTTCTGCCATATGTAAACCTTTTTCGTTTTCCCTAACACTTTAAACTGTGCCTTAAAAATGCACTGGGTGGTGCCATCTTATAGAAATGTATAAATTTGTCAATTAAAAAAATATATTTTATCCTTTAGAGCAGAAAATTCCTGAAGAAGAATACATTATTTTGATAGATGGCTTAAATGAAGCTGAGTTTCATAAACCCGATTATGGAGATACACTTTCTTCATTTATTACCAAAATTATCTCTAAATTTCCTGCCTGGTTGAAGTTGATTGTGACTGTAAGAGCAAATTTTCAGGTAAAAAATAATTTTCAAATCTCTTTCCACATCTCTATACTTAAATTTTACATTTATTGATACTAACAATTGAAACTGTTGTAAACCATTTAGCTGCTCGATTGAAAACTATATTTGGACTTTGAAATTTTAGTGCAGACAGGTCCCAAATGGGCTAAACTCTGACTTTTTTACCCTCCAAGGCACATTTATTAAAATGCCAGGTAAGTTTCCTGTTAGCATTGAACTGTACTTGCGCTTCTAAAATGGAAGTGTCTAGTCTTGGTTTACCATCATTCAGTTTAGGGGAGCTGTTTGAGGTGTCTGGCTAACAGGTCTACTAGAGCTTAAAGTTATTCCTGCTAGTAGTTATTTGCATGGGTTTGTAGTGGTACTTTTTTTTTTTTTTAATGAAGGGAAAAGGGAGGGATGAAAGAGAGATTTTTAAGGTCTAGTCTGAAGGAAGGTCTATTTTTTCATAAAACTTAAACATGAGGGTAACTCTTGCAGCAAGATGAATGATATTTAAAAAAATTATTTTCTCATCTTTTCCTTCATTTGAACCTTAAAATTGTATCTTAACAATCAACTCCTTCCTTCTGCCCCTGTCCATTTTCAGTAAAGTCATTAGACATTAGATTTTGATTTTTGCCCTTTTATAATGATATTTATTTAAAAAGAACATTTGGGTTCATTCTTTTCTCTCATTAAAAATGGCATTAGACCCCAGTCAACTTGATGTTTATTTTTATGGGTATTTGATTCAGACCCTTTCTGTCATTTTTCACGCAGTAAACAGAATCTGGCTGTTGGTAAAGCACAGGAACAGGAGGACTAGCTAAGTTTTCAGAGGTTCAGTTAGCATCCGTGGAAAATGAGAGTAATTGTGCTCAGCCTGCCTCCTGCAATTATTGCATTTAAGGAGGACATATACTTAAATACTTCAGAAATTATAGTGGGAAGTTTCAAGAAAAACACAAAACTCATCTCTGCTGTTAGGTGTCAAGGTGGTGCTTATCTTGGGGGATGGGGGAGAGACAGGAGGGGACAGAGGACTTCTGCCAGCTGGTGATGCTCTGTAGAGCTGCTGGGTACACACGTGTATTTGACTTCGTGAAAATTAATGATGCTGTGCGGTTATGGCTTATGCACATCTGTATGTATAGTATCCTTCAATTTAAAAGTTTACTGAAAAACAGCCACTTAAAAAATGATGGCAAGCTGTACTGGAGTTCCCGGTTTTGTGACAGCAGGCGGTCACTGGGCACAGCCTGGGGGCAGTTTCAGGTTTCCGGGTTCAGTTACCAGCCCTAGTATCTGATACACTAAGAGGGATGCCTCTTATCTCGGTATCTGGCTGTGTTCTTAGATGTACAGTGTTGGTTGGTGTTTGTCCTCGTTATATAACCAGTTGCACAATGTAAGGATTATGGGTATCAGGTCACCTCATGGTCTTACTGCCCCTTTGCGAGTACGGCCAGGTTGCATTGTCTGCTGGGGCTCTTCCATCTCTCTTGGCTCTGAGTCCTTGGATCAGGGCCTCGGGAAAGCCTTATTCCATCTTGCATCAGGATTTCTTTCACATAAGCTTTTTATCTTCATCTTATCCTATTACAGGTTTTAATACAAAACAATGAGTCCCTGTAATCCACAAAAATCCTCCTTGAAAGAAAACTAGTGAATCTGGTTCAAAATGCAGCTGACATAAAAAAAAAAAGAAAGAAAAGAAAAGAAAAGAAAAAAAAGAAAAAGAAATCTCTGTGGAGTGACACTGTGGGTTTTGTGTTTCTGCAGGAAATCGTAAGTGCGCTGCCATTCATCAAGCTTTCCTTAGATGACTTTCCCGACAACAAAGACATTCACAGCGACCTGCACGCCTATGTCCAGCACAGGGTCCACAGCAGCCAGGACATTCTCAGCAACATCTCTCTGAACGGCAAGGCCGACGCCGCACTCATTGGGAAAGTGAGCAGCCACCTGGTCCTGCGAAGCCTCGGCTCCTACCTGTACCTCAAGCTCACCTTGGACCTCTTCCAGAGGGGACACCTGGTCATCAAAAGTGCCAGCTACAAGGTGGTGCCAGTGTCTCTGTCCGAGCTCTATCTGCTGCAGTGCAACATGAAGTTCATGACCCAGTCCGCCTTCGAGAGGGCCCTTCCGATTTTAAACGTGGCCCTCGCGTCCCTGCACCCCATGACAGACGAGCAGATTTTCCAGGCTATTAATGCCGGCCACATACATGGGGAGCAGGGATGGGAAGACTTTCAGCAGAGGATGGATGCCCTCTCCTGCTTCCTCATTAAGAGGCGAGACAAAACCCGCATGTTCTGCCACCCGTCCTTCAGGGAGTGGCTTGTTTGGCGAGCAGATGGTGAAAACACGGCCTTCCTGTGTGAGCCCAGGTATGACAGGCTGCTTTCTGTCAGCTCTTTGCAGGGAGCTTAATGTGCAATTCGGGAAGGCATTTCAAACACAATTCACGTTTTTCTTTTTAACGGAAAGGCAACACAGAATGAATAATTCAGGAGGGGCAATGGAAAATTCTCCCTGCTACTAAACAAAAGCTAGAATTTTAGGACTCCACAGTACCTTTGGATGAAAGGGAAGCTAGACAATGCCTGGGTGCCATTTCTTTGCCATCTATTCTTTTCTAGACCCCCTCCCCTGTCACAGGTGTCATATGAGGTGGGGAAAGTGTGATATCAGCCCCAGGGAACAACAGGCTTCTCTAGAGGCTGTTCTCAGCCCCGTTTTTTCACCCTGGGGGCCTGTGGACTGCCTGGGACCCCCAGCACCGCTGCTTCCCCGCCACCTCGTGAACGTGTAGCATCAACTTGTCCCAGTGATCAGGTAGATGTGTCTGTGTCCCAGAGGGGAGCACAGTGATCACGTCTGGCCGCCTTGTTTTGTATTTGTGGTTCAGCTCAGTGTAACAGACTGGAATATGGAGTCGGGTGCACTGAGGTTTAGGTCTCTGATGCCCCATGTGTGAGATGGTAGTGGGGTAGCCGGATCCAGGAAGTTGAAAGTTCCACTGAGCTTGTCTGGCCAGGGTGTAGTTCGCCTCACTGCCTGGGGGTGGGGGGGCGTAAGCCTGCCTGTCGTGTGGTCTGGTGCTAGGCAGGGGGAGAGGTCGGGGGATTTGAGGGTGTGGGTGCTTCCAGGTTAAAGTATGTTCATGTGCATAAGTCCAGCTGGCCCTGGTCATGGCCATGACCTGCATCTTTGCTGTCTTCAACAGCTTCTGTTCTCTGTGAGTCACGGTTGTTCCCGACTCGTGTAACAGGCCTTCCAAGCTGCTAAACTGTCCCCCTTTGGGCTGAACTGGGCGTTTGAACAGATGCTGGGGTCCAGAAATGAATAAGAACTTAGGACCCTCACGCCATCTTCCTCTCCACAAATACTGGCAATGATGCTGTAAAAGGCCTAGCTGCTGTTTCATGTGGTGGATAGTGTTGTTTTTTTAGGTGATACTGGGCTACAAATGTATCTTTTGAACCTGGTTTTGGGCAAAATAACCAGATTATTGACCGAGACCATAATCACTAGGTCAACAGTGTGTCGTGTGGTATATCTGGCCAAGCCAGGTTATTTTCTAGGAAAAGTCAGATCATTTCCTGGGAAGACGGCCTGTCATTGAGTTTGTAGAGACATAAAAACAAGCAGAAAGACTTCAGCAGCGGGAGTAGATTTGTTACTGCGGTTGGAGGCGGAAGGAGTTGGACTGTAGTCACAGTTAAGCTTCGCCCCAGTTTGGGTGGCAGGTGACACTGAGGTTATGCAGCTTCGGGCAGCGCTGAGAGAGGGGTGACTAATGGGTTGTTAACCCACAATTGCAGACTCCTGAGCGCTGATGTGTTCCTATAAGCAGGCAAGGGGACTTAACAGGGGCAGAGCCAGGACTAGGCTGGGGCAAGACAGGCACCTGGGGTGTGAAAGAGTTGTTACTGCTCAGAACTATGCAAGTGAGCATTTATTTACCCAAGACCCCTGTAGTTCTTGAACTCCATTCAGCAGACAGAATATATAGAACGATGTTGGAAGGAAACTACTGGATTTAGTGCAGCAAAAGTTTCTGCAGACCAACTATGTGCAGGGTACTCTGGCAGAAAAAAACAGAGATTCCGGGGACAAGGGCCCTGCTCTCAAGGCCTTCCCACACAGGAGGGTGGACGAGGGAGGCAGTGATAGAGTTAGAAGGGAACCACTCTGCACGTGGGCCCTCAAGAAAGAGAGACAAGCTTCTGCGGGGGCAGGGAGAGACCATTCCTGGAAAATGTTTCACGTGCATGATAACGTTTGGGTTGGGCCTTGAATGATGGGTCGCATTTATATTCCCACCCCATCTGGTTATAATTTTGCCCCAATTACAGAGAAGAAGAATAAGAACCCAATACTCAGACACAATGTCACTTCACTTTTTATTTCTGTCCCTTCCCATGCATTTTAAACTTACTCCAAATTATCTTTTCTGTATTAAAATTCCCGTTCTGCTTGTTTTGCTTAACACATCATGGATATTTTAGCAAGCTGTTTGGAAAGCTTAGTAAAGTGTCATTTTTCATGGATGTGCAAACCTCCTCGGAGGCAAATGATATTGTCCCAAACCCTTATTGTAGGACCTTTATGTTGTTTCTGAGTTACTGATAAACATAAAAATCTATTGTGAATACCTTGGTACCTTACAGGGAAGCAGCAGAGTTTGAGGGAGCTCTGGATTAAAATCCTGTTTCCAGTAGCACCTTGTGTAATTCTTTTATAAATTATTTTAATTCTCAAGCCTTAGTCTCCTTATCTGTAAAAAGAGTAAGAGTATCTCCTTACCATGTGGCTGTTACATGAGAGAAGTCTGTACTTACAGGGGTCTGCTTCTCCTCTTCTTTCTTCCCTCTCTTCCTCCCTTCCTTCTTTCCTTCCTGTTTTTGATTATTCCTTAGGTTAGAATCCCGGAGCAGAATTACAAAGTTAAAGCATAAAGTTGCTTGGAGCCTTCATTCACATCACCTAGACTTAGACTTGATTCATATTTTGCAATATTTGCTCCATTAGTTATGTTTGCTGAAATAAATTATAGACTTCACAACATTTTACCCAAAATAATTGATTATGCACCTAAAATAAAAAGGAAGAGTTTCATACTGAACTACAATACTATTACAACACCTGAAATATTAACACTGATTCATCGATATGATCACACATGTAGCTGTGCTCATATTTCTCTACTTTCTTCATATTTTTTTAGTATGTTTGAATCAGGATCCAGATAAGGTCCACAAAATGCATTGTATTGTATCTCTTTTAAAAATCTGTAGATTCCTTCTTCATTCTCTTTTTTTGTGTTTTCCTTGCATTTTGTTTAAAAAGAACAACTGAATAGTTTGTCCTGTTACTTTCCCATAATCTGAATTTTGCTGGTTGTGTTCTTATGGTGGTTTTTAATGTGCTTATCGCCTCTATTGTCTATAAATGTGTAGTTAAATCAACAGGCTGGATCAGATTCTATTTTATGTAAACATTTTTTTTTTTTGTAAGGATACTTAACAGGTGGTACTGAGCAGTTCCCTCAGGAGGCACTTAACGTCTTAATGTCTCTCAGAGCCATTAATGATGATTTCCTGGACCCATCAGTTCATTAGGGTTGCACAAGGACTCTTAATCTAGAACAGTCTCCCATCTACTTTGCTTTCCACATGTCATTGACTTGAATAAGTGGATAGGATTTCAATAGGTAGAATGAGGCTATTGCAGGCAGGAGGAGCTGTAAAGCATCGCATCAGGATGAACGGCCCGTATTCTGGTGACAACAAATCTAGTTTGGCCGGAGCTTTTGTCATGGAATGGCGGAGTGGAAAGAGCTAACAGAAAGATGTGCCTTGGGAGCGTGGCCTTTTAGCAGTCGTCTCTGGAAAACTTTGAAATTTCTGGAGTGTAGATCATCTATGATATGGACAGGAGCATGGCGCGGGTGGAGCATGGGGACCACTGCGACAGACAGGAGTGGGACTTGTCGAGTCTGGCTTTGGGATGCAGGGTGGTGGAGACAGGCCTTGCTGACATGAGATAGAAGGGCGTGGCTTGGCCTTGTGGGCAGAGTCGAGAAGAAGGTGCCATGTCAAGGTGTTAAGCCTCAGAAACTAGGAGTAGCCTTGCTCTTAGAAAGGGTAAGAAAGGCCAAAGGCGTCGGTCGGGTTTTGTTTTCAGCAGTGTAAGCTTCTGGGGTCGGTGAAATCCCCAGGTAGACAGGTACTGATGGTGGGTGGGGTCTGAGGTTGGAGAAGTTGGAGTTGAAGATTTGGTGTCATTGGTGGTGAGCTGGTGGTGGGACTTGGTGAGGAAGTGTAGTTAGAGGAAAGGGAGCTCATGGAGAAGGATTTCAGGGAAGGAGGTTAGGGGCGTAAGCGCCACCGAGAGGTGAAGGCAGATGAGGATTAAGAGGAAGCCATTGGCTCTTCAGTTCAGGAGGAGGGTCCTGGGTCCTTAGAAGATGCCTTCTTTTGTATTGTGAAGAGTGAAAGAGGAGAGAGCCAGCATCCTGGATGGATAATGGAAGGGTGGAGAGGTTTGGGGTTGTTTGTGTGGGGAAGGGTTTTGTGTTTTTTGTTTGTTTACTTCTTAAGATTTTTATTGGGGAATTGGGGAAGGGGAACAGCGTTGGGGAATCAGGAAAGGGGAACATCCAAGTTGCTGTCCTTTTGTTCTTCAGTCTAGTTGTGGAGGACGTTGCTTCACTGGCCCATGTTGATATTGTGATCATTGCACTCTTCCCAGGTGAGGCAGATAGGTCGTCAGCCACTGGATGGCCGCTCATGGCAGCTCATGGCAGCTCATGAAAGCGCATGCCAGCTGCCGGCCAGCCCCACTGCAGCCTATGCCGTCGCTGGCGACTCACGGCAGCCCAGTTCCAGGTCGAACTGTTGTTCAGCATCTTAGCTGTAGAGGGCGCAGTGTCACTGGCCTATGTGGGATCTGAACCAGGGCCCTGCTGCTCAGAGCTGGCGTCCCAAGCCAACTCTTAACCAACGCACCACTAGGCCGGCACTTGTTTTTGTTTTGAACACACAGAAGATTAGGACATTGTTAGAAATACCGATACAGTGGGGAAACACAATCTATAAAGAAGGAGAAATTGGAACTGGCAAGGGAATGCGAGCTAAGTGAGGGGCAGCCTGCCAGCACTGTGTTGTCACTGAGTCTGTTCATAGCACCATTCTAGCTGAATTTCATCTGGTTTATGCACATCTTCTCCAGTCGCTGAGAGATCTCTAGGGAAGCACCTTCCATTGTTCCCTCTGGAATCCCTAGGACCGAGCTACTGCTGGTTATAAAGGGGATGTTAATGAGTGAGTGAATGAATAATCTGGTTTTGCTGACTAGAAGCATAGGCTCTCACATTGGGTAGACTGCTCAGATCAAATCTCTGCTCAGTCATTTACCTGCCATTTGATCTTGGGCAAATCAGCTTACTTGTCCAGGCCTCAGTTTCATCATGTAAATAAATTGGGAATCAGAATACTTAGTGGTTCACAGGGTTGTGTAGGTAAATGAAATAATTCAGTTAAATTTCTGCATGTGGCATACACATTTTGATAATGTATCAGCTTTGGAAAATGAACAAACTCATGAATGCAGGTAGACTTAGAAGAGGGCCCATGACCCTGAGACCAGGAGGGAAGGAAGAAAAAGTAGATTGCATATAGAGGAGTGCAGTATCAGCAATTACATGGTGAGTGGTCTCCTCAGAGAGTTGGGAAGCCATGTGCTCAGCTGAGAGCACTGGAAACCTTTGGCCTCCAAAGGATGCATGGTCATCACACCATGAGGGCCAGCCATGGTACTTAGCTTAGCATGTCTTTGTTGTGGACACAGTTGGTGTGGCCGTGGAGCTCAGCAGACTGGGAAACTGAGGATGGCTTAGCCTGTGGTGGAGAGAGTGGCTCTGACTGGAGTGACATGGGCCAGGTTGAACCCTGGGACCAGCCCATGGATAAAGACTGGGGAGCATGCGGGAGCCTGGAGCACTTGAACGTGGCAGAGAGCCGTTTCCACGGGAACATTGAACAGGAGAGGTGGGAGCATGGGAAGCTCTCATCTGAGAGGAGAAATCTAAGCTCGAGGTTTGGGAGGTGGAGTATGTGCATGGAGCATTGGATATGTGCTCATGGGACAGCTCTAGACCCTACAGGACTTTGGACTGGACATTCATTGGCAATGTGACTTTAAAAGGCATGCCTTCCTCTATAGTATGAAAAGCAATCTCTTGGTCTCCACCTGCCTTTATTTCCTCATCTCTAATGTGGATTTTTCCTCATCTATAACCTATTTGAGAAATAGGCATGTATCTGGATAAACACTGTTGAAATGATGCTAATCATCTAGATTAGCAGCTATCAAAAAACACATTTAGGAGAATGTATTATTTTTTTCTATAATGTTTATCTTTTCCTCCACAAATACCTGCTTTCCCCCCAAAGTCAGCAGTTGTCAGGTTGATAGAAATGAAAATAATTCGCACTGTGCAGAAGTCACTGCTGTTGGAGTAAGCAACCCTTCGCATCTTTTCCAAAGAAATTGGCTCAGGCAAAGGCATGGAGTCCATAGGAGCTGGAATGAGTCATACAGACATAGAGGGGAAAATGGGTAGGATGGGTCCTCCATAAAAGCATTAGTTGGGGGCTCATGGGTGGTGTCAGTTGAATGTCCACCATGTGCCCAGACATAGCAAGCCCCCTCATGCACCTTAGCTTTCTTTCCCCCACAAGGATCTGTCTTCCATCCAAGCCTAGAATTCTAGGTGTTTCTGACCATGAGCTGTTTCTGTGCATGGTCTGGTTTCTTTTCCCATTGTAAGTCCTTGCCCTTTGTCCCAAGTCTCCCCTAAAAGGTGATTATCCTGAGAGGAGGCTGAATACCAGGTCCAGTGATGGTTCTCTATCTGTTCGTCCATCTAAGAAACACACACGTGTATTTTAGTACTTACTAAGTGTTGGGCATTTGCTCAGTATGGTGACTGTATCTGTGACTTAGACAAGACCCTCAGTCTCATGCAGTTGATGTTTTGGTGACTGACATCAATCAATAAATAAGGTGATGAGAGAGAGAAGGATGGTTCTAAAGATAAAGACCTGCCCTGCCCTAGAGCTTCTCTCTGGGTCACTCCACAGCGATAGGGGAATCCAGAGGAGGCCCTTACAATGACTTGAAGAGTAAACAGCCTTGGCCATCTTTTGTAAAGAGGCAGCTTTCCGCCATTTTGTATGGTGATGCTGAAGTGCCAGGAGAATAATTCAGGGTTGTGTGGGGATGTCGCCACCAGAGGGCCTGTGGTGTTGTGGAACAGGGTCTCTTGTTACGAGCCTTTGTGTTTCTTGTCCTAGGAATGGGCACGCTCTCCTGGCATTCATGTTCTCTCGACAAGAGGGCAAGCTGAACCGCCAGCAGACCATGGAGCTTGGCCACCACATCCTAAAGGCGCACATTTTCAAGGTGAGACACCCACCCCTTGTTGTGGTCTTATCTTTCTGAGGTTTTGGTTTTGGAGACTTCAACAGCTTTACCAGCCCTCTTAGAGCCCTCCACGAGCTCCTACAAGTAACCACTGTTCTGACTTACAGTCACGCAAGTGTGTATCTAAATGCTGTTGTCAAGCCTTGCCTTGCTTTCTCCTCTTTGACGTTTCTTTTCACCTAAAGTTTGCATTTCATTCCCTCTCTTTTGTTTCCTTATTATCCAAGAAAGTGAATTACTGGACTTCTAGTTTTGCACCTTCTGGATTTTCTGATTGTTCTTTGTTTCTTATGACCTGGTTTAACATGTTCTTCTTCCCTCTGGATTTCCTGTCATTTGGCCATTGTACCTGGAAGCTTAATCAGATTCAGGTTTGAATTTTTTCCCCCCCGAGGGTATTATGGTTACTTTCTAGTTATACTTAGAGTTTAAACTCCATGTAGCTCTGCTATGGGTTTCTTGTATCAGGAGGCACAGCATTTGTGCTTGCTTCTCTTGCTGTGATGCCAGTGACCACTACAGGTCTCTTCCTGGACTCGTTCATTCATTGGGGGTTATAGAAGGGTGATATTCTATCATTTATTCCTCCTTTGAATGACTGGAGAACTCTATAAAGAGAAGAAACTGTCTCCTCATCTGCCATCTCTTTCCCCAGGCATAGCGGAAGCAGGCTAGTTCCTTGACCCTTTGCTTTAGGGAGGGAAGGCTTATAGGTCCAGGCATTCTTTGTAGGCACGCAGCACCACCTACACCATATGTGAGCTTGTATCTGCACCCTCTGGGGCATACCTGCTTTCAGACCGATGCTGCAGGTAGGAAAGGAGATGTTGAAGGCTGATTTGTCTCCGATTGCTTCCAGGGCCTGAGTAAAAAGACAGGAATCTCTTCAAGCCATCTCCAAGCCCTGTGGATCGGGTACAGCACCGAGGGGCTGTCTGCCGCCCTCGCCTCTCTCAGGAATCTCTACACTCCCAACGTGAAGGTGAGCAACCCGATCCCACCCAGAGCCAGAGCCCCCAGCCCCGGCACCTGCTGCCCACCCTCCAACATACCTGCCCTCCCCCCTGCATTGGGTGGTGGTCAGAGGAGATGGACGAGCTTCTAATGACGCTTTTTCCAAGATGTAAATCACACAGACTTGAAAGCTCTGTTACCATTTCTCTCCTAGAAGGTTAGCTTTCGCTCAGGCAGGAAAATGTGGGCAGTCGGAGGCTACTGTGTGAGCCCATGGAGGCTGTTTCAGAGCGGATGTGATAAGGAAGCAATTCACAAAGGCAACCAAAGGTCAGAGGTAGAGTTGCAGAGAAAACTGATTTTTAAAGTGTCCTAGGCTTCTAATCTGCGCTATCTCTTTATAGTTCATAGGAAATTAAGCATTGATGAGTGACACAAAGCAATGGGTGCACAGGGGAAAACTATTACTAGCGTTTTTGTGCACACATGTATTTATGGCCATGGAAAGCGTATCGGGGGCAGCCCGCTGCTGAGCCAAGGGCTTCTTCAGTCTTGGTCAGTGGCTGTCGTCACTGTATCTTGCTGAGCTTCCTCGCTTAATGCAGTCTGAGAATCTAAAGCTCACCGAGGCCGAGTATCTGGTTAAGGCAACATAGAAGGGCTGATGCCCGCAAACAGTGTGGGAATTGCTGGTTTACACCGAAGCGGCCTGCACCCGTCTTCTCCAGTGCAAAGTAAAATGTGGTCATCAGTGTTTGCACATTTTAGATGCCTCGCCCACGTGACATATCTGCTACACTCTAGGCCTTTTTGCCACAAGCCCTGACGTGCCCAGCTGCCACAGAAGCTCTGAGGCAGATTCCCAGGGAGTCCGGGCCTCGCTGTCACTCATCGCCATGAAACAATCACACCTGTTCCCCTCTTAGTAGCACAGTGGCCCCGATGTGGTTATGCAGCAAAGGACAAAGCCGTAGAAGTTTCTGGGCATGTCTTCCACTTCTTACTTTGGTTATTCAAACTCACCTGGGAAGGAGGCTCCGTGCCCCAGAGAGGATGCTGTGGGGGACA